CAAGGACCCAAGTTCAATCCCCGAAGGAATTACCGGACAATGACAATTTGAAAAAAAGGAGAAATTAATGACTGTGTCTAAAGGAGACATAAAGATCAATAGGTTACATAATACATAAAACATATTTTTCTATTTCAATAAAAATATATATGCAGGGCCAGGGATTTAGCTCAGCGGTTTGGAAGCCTGCCTTGCAAGCGCAAGGACCCAAGTTCAATCCCCGCGACAATGCAGTAGCTACTTGCTCCATATGCCTATTTAGCTTTAATTAAAATTAAATTAATAAAATTTAAAATTCAGTTGCTCAGTCACATTAACTTATTGAACACACTCAAAAGGTACACATGGTACAAACAACAAAAGCACAGAAATGGAAATTTCTATCACTATAGTAAGCTGTATTAGACAGCATGTTGTAATGTAATCAAATCCTTTTTTCTCTACAATTAGGAACTCCTTCCCATAAAATTGCAAATATTTCCTCCTGTACTTAAAACACTTTTTATGAACTTATCAATATGCTGACCATAATTACTTTTTAAAAGATTTTAACTATCAGCACAGAGTTTATTTACAAGGTGCTGTAACGCAATCTCATTTCTCTTCACATTAACCTTGTGAGGCATACAAGTGCACGATCTGAAATGGGTTCTGCAGAATGCAGAAGTGCTCAGATAGATGGTAGAAACCTGAATCATATGCTCCATCCCCCCTCAGAACACCTAGGGAAGCACCCAGGGACACAATGGACTATATGAACATTCACAAAAAAGGATAAGTGAAGACTATTTAAAAACTCCATATTAATCAGGACCTGCTTCTGCCATCAAATTGGTTAGAACAGGAATTCTCACCCTCCTGTGTATAAGAGCAACATAACTACAAATTTAGAAGGAGGGATCTGTGAGTTTTTACTTACTTTTCCCCCATACCAGGATCTGTATAAGGATTTCCATCACAGAATTCTCCAATGACCAGCTTCCTAAATTTCAAGAACTCATTTCTAAAACAGAGCAAAGTGTTTTTCTCCCTGGTAGTTATACAATTATGCTAAAATGAAAGGCCTACTTTTTATGAGAATTGATAGTGACAAATACAAAATCAAAATTTTATTTTGTCAAATTTATAAAATGACACTATTTTAAACACAGGCACTTAAATGGATCTAGAAGCTTAAATATTTCCTATTTCATTTCTGAAAAAAATAATATAACCAATTTTTATGACAGTACTTTCATGTTCTCTGTCTAGTTTTACAGAAGTTTTCACTTTCAGGAAAGACTGTGGCCAAATTTACATTACAACTTGAAAATCTTCACAATTATTATACTTATAAACAAGGGTTTATCTTAAAATATCCCAAACAAATACATTTTACAAAAAATATGTTTAAACACATTTTGGTGTAATTCAAGTATAAAGTGTTAAAATATAAAGACAGGCATTAAATATTTTACAGCAATGTGGCCATATTTTTGCCCCAAATTATGAAATATCACAAATTTGACATCTAATAAAGAATATATAACAACTATATGATTTTCATGAAAACTTACTCTTATCGCTTGGTTACTGATGTGCCCTTGCTAAATCTGTGATCAGGAATAGGAAACTGAAACAAATGCTATCATAATATGAAAATCGCAACTTAATTTAATATTTATTTTAAAAATAGATCTCATTATGGAGTAACTGAACAATTATTTAGCTTTCACATTATTTCATTACAGCATATTACATATAAAAAGGTAAAAGTTTATAAACTAAATTTTATCAATCAAACTAAAGATATTAATGACTGAAGTGTAGTTTAGTTAAGTGTTAGAAGTACTGATTCAGGGTGACTGTATAATCCAGGTTTGGCTACTGACAACAGGGTTATATTTGGTGAGTTACTCAACCTTTGTGCCTCAATTCCTCCATCTATAAATGGGGAAGAGCAGCATCTATTTTCCTGGGGCTAAATTAGGATTCATAAAATGTTGCATGGAAGCACTCAGGACAGCATACGTACGGTACACAGGTTGCTCCACAGCATTCCCTATCATCCCTGGTATTAATGAACCATCCTTGGCATTATAATGTAGCTGTTAGCACTTTCGACCTTCCAGAGCTTCTCTTTCCTTCACAGAGAAACAACATCTGAAGCAAACCTGTGTCAGCTTAAAAAGTAATACCTTACAAATAATTCATATATGTACACATCAGGGCTCCTTAAAGCCTGATAAAGGTAATAAGCAAGAAGCATACTTTCACAGCTCTTTTATACATACAACAATGCTGTAGTCTAGTACAGTAATGGATAAAATGCTATCCCAAAAATTCCCAAGAAGCCAACTTTACTGAGACATTTGTCCAATTTTGAACAAGCTGTGCTTGAGGCACTCATAGCACATTCTAAGAACACTGCAGGAAGTGTCAGAATACAGACCTAGAGGTGGAGGCTGACCCTGAGGAGGTATATCATTCCCTCCTGTGTATTGCATGGAATTGTTCACATCCTATTTCGTGACAAATCAGTTAGCTCTGTGCTCTTACCTACTGCTTCTATCAGTGCTCAATGACGGCTGATTTTTTAAAATTCGAAGTATTCATTTAAAAGAGTAAGTGTTACTGCATGTAAAGAAAACTAATTATAAAAACTTTTTTCAGGCTAGGGATTTAGATGGTTCCACTGACTGCCTCTCAGGCGCAAAGTCCCAAGTTTGATCCCTGGTCCCCCAAAAAAAATACTTTTTTTCAACTGGACACAGTGGTGCACACCCATAATCTCAGCTACTTAGATAGCTGAGGCAGGAGGATCACACAATAGAAACCAGCCTGAGCAACTTAGCAAGATGCTTTTTTTTTTTTTTAATTTAAAGACTAAAAATAAAAAAGGCTATGGAGATCTTAGTCTATGGTAAAGTACCTCTGGGTTCAATATGCAGTACCACAAAAAAGAAAAAAAAATTTCAGTTTGTGGACTTTACATAAAGATGAAATTTTCACTTTGAAGAATTCTTATAGTATAAAAATGTCCTTTTTTTTTAAATTTGGTTACAGAATTAATAAGCTACCAAGATGTGAAACTTAACATCATCAGCAGGTCTATAAACCTGACCAAGTAAAAAATGAAAAGACGAGAAATAGATAAATGGGTAAAATATGGGGGAGAGAGAGAGAGCAATAAAGACTTAAACATTGAAATTCTTAAATTTGTTATTTGCAATGTACACTAAAATGATTTCACATTCTAATTTACATATTATTTTAATTCTTAAGTTTAAAAACTTAAAAAACTTCCAGGTCCTTCCAACCAGTATTATGCAAAGAGCTATAATAAGGACCACACAGCAAATGTGCTCATTACATATCCTAGGTAATAAAGTAAGGGACAGCTGCTGTCATCCCGATCCACTAATAACCGTATGACTATTAATCCTCAATTTAAAATCTATAGATCCACTTTCTAGAGAGTGTTTTACCTATGGTATTTACTATTCATATTAAAATATGGCAAAGTCTATAAAGACCCTAACAGAACAGACTGGCTGCTAGTTCCATATTTAATAGCAAATCATGACAATTTCAGTTGTGATTGCCAACTGGATATCTTTCAAGTGAAATCAACATGGAAATGACACTTTTATTCATTTAGACACCAGGGAATTCATGAATACTGAATGGATGAGAAGATAGTAGCAGCAGAGGGCTGGAAAACAGCAATACAAATAGGCTTACAAGAACTTAACAGCAGCAGTAAAGTAAGGATTCACAGAATGAAATTCCTACAGCACAAAATAAACTTGGCAGCTTCAGTCTACACTTTCTCACTTGAAATAAACACATAAGCAAGGATCAAATGTATAATGATTGTAATTTCATATAATAGAATACTTAAAAATCTGATACCAACAGAAATTATTGGTAGATTAAAAGAGATCCCCCTAGTTTTGGCCCTATTTCCCATTCTGTGAAGAAATTCATAAGTGGAAAAAAAAATAACTTCAGACTCTAAATGATGAATGCTAACTACTAAGAGTGGCCTCACCATGAGGTCTGAAATAGAAGGAAAATGTACATTTCTTCCGGAGTCGTAGCCAACAATAACTTTTACATTCTGTATCCAGCTTAGGTACATTAGTTGAGAAGATGTTTGCAAAAGTATTTAATAAGAAAGTGCTGAATTTATTTTTATTTCTTCAGTATTGTTTTCTTTTTTGAACATTAATTTACTTTTTAAAATTTTTATTAGTACATGTTTGAATTACAAAATGTTTACATTCCTTGCAAGCAGTTGGTACATAATAATACACCTTAATTCTTTTTCATCACCATTCCTTCCCTCCATCTTGTGATCCCTATTTCTTCCTTTTTTTAAATGGCTTGAGGTTCTTCAAATGCATTAAGAACCTCTTCTAAATATGAATGACAGAAATACCACAGGTTTTTTTTTTATAGCAAATTGTTTCTATAGATCACAGGTCAAAGATCAGAAGTCAAAGGTTCAATCTCTGAATAAAGGTATTTTTTTAATGTTTCAAATTTTCTCCAACATTCTGAAATGCAGTAATTTCATATACTATCAAAACTGCAAACTAATTTAGGCTCCCAGAATTAAGATATTTGAGAAAAGTTGAAAACTTGTCTGAAAACATTTCAACAATCTAAAAATATAATCAGTCTCAAAATTTCTAAATTTAAAACACAGTAATAAAGAATCCATCACATTCAGGCAAATAACAATAACAACAAATATGTTTACATGATTATTCATTCTACCTTTTTAAAGGATGATCCTGTATTTCATTTTTCAAGCACAGTACATCATTGTAACATTTTTATCTAATTTTGCCTCTTTTGTACATGGCTATTTAAATGTTATCAGAGTTATTTCACTTCTACTGATAAAATACAAATTACTTCCAAGCTAAGTTTACAAATTATATTTCTATTGTTTTTCTTCAATGTAAATAAATTTAAAACAGCAACAGTCATAGTATCCAAGACATACTCACATCATACTTTGTAACTCGGCCGCAAAGCTGATAGCCTTCCCTGTACTTCTTCCACTACTCGAAGTGGCAGCAGACATTGGGCTAGCTGCAGTATTATTCATCTAAATAAAAATGAGAAATGAGGCTTACAAAGTGTACTTTACTATAAATAAATGCAAGAAAAAATTATAAATTATAAATTATAAATTACTTCCTGATAATTCCTGTTTTGTATGAATCTGATTTGCTTAATGTTCTTTACTGAAACAAAATTATGGTGGCAAAAAGTTGCTTAGTCATGTAAAATAGCAAACAAATTCTCTTGGATGATAATTCAATACGTATTCTATAGTACATATGTAGCAAACTATTAAAGTATTTTAAATCTCAGTGGTCTTAAACATGTGTTCTAGGGAGCCTTAATATTAGTGATTCTTGGGCCGGGGATTTAGCTTAGTGACATGGCACCTGCCTTGTAAGTGCAAGGTCCTGAGTTCAATCCCTAGTCCCACAAAAAATAACAAGAATAATGATAGCAATTATGATACACACACACACACACACACACACACACACACACAAATTCTTCAGGGCTAGCTACCAGTGGCCACTAAACAGTCAGTTTAGCACACATGAATGACCAGTTTCATCCAGGCCACCAAAACAATCTGAATTTCTATTTTATATACGAAAGTTCCAAGTAAGACTTCACTTAATGAAAGTTTTACAGTTCTAAGGTACAAAATTACAGAACTACAGCATAATCTCATCCCTACATGAACCAAAGTCTAAAAGACAAAGTCAGTATATCAGAAGTAAGCATTTTTATATTCTATAATCTCATAGGTAAAACAACTTTTCCAATTTGAAATGTAACCTTTTCCCCAAAACTAGATGCCAATTCTTATATATGTCATTTCATTTTATGCATATGGCATTAAACAAGAATTAGTAGCCAGGTGTGGTGGTACACATCTGTAATCCCAATACTCTGACACACTGAGATAAGAAAATCCTAAATTTGAGCCCAGCCTGGGCAATTCAGCAAGGCCTTGTCTCAAAATAAAAAACTTTAAAAAGGGCTGGGACTGTAGCTCAGCACAAAGGCTCTGGGGTCAATCTCCCAATACAGGGAAAAAAGAACAGAAAAAAAAAACCAACAGAAATTAGTCAAAATAACATTAATATAAAATCTTCAAAGTAGAGCCTCAACTACTACACAGTAAGTTACTTGATAAATGGTATTACCTCATACATACATGTAAACTTTGCAGTATTATAAACTTTCTTAAAAATACTTTTAAACCAGGCATCGTGGCACACACCTGTAATCCCAGAACTGAGAGGCTGAGGCAGGAGCAATGTAAACTCTAGCTCAGTCTAAGCAATCTAGAGAGATGATGTCTCAAAATAAAGAATAAAGGAGTTGGAAATATAGCTTAGTGTGAAGGCCATGGGTTCAATCCCTAGTACTACAAATAAACAAAAATTTAAAAAATAATGCAGATTCTAAAGAACAGAAGAAATGGTAAGACAAAGCAATTGAGAGAATTTACCACCCAAGTTAAGAGAGTGGGCTCCAGAGCTGCTACCATGCAAAAGGCTACTGTCTGCCCTTGAGTCAGGAGGCAAGGCAGGAGCAGAGCAAAACTTTAATACTGTGCTGACTTAAGGGACATCTTGCCCAGGAAGCTGATTCAAAGGCAGCTTACAGAAAAAATAATCAGAGTGGTGTGCACCTTTCCATGGATGGAATGTTTTGACCATTAAATGAGGCCCATCTAATCCTGATCACCTCGTCAAGATCCTTATTTCCTGAACCCATTCTTGTCACTGATTACCTTGTCCACATGCTGGTCCTAACCCATTACACAAGGTACAGGTGACAGCTGCTGCCTCAAAGCCCTCTTGCTCATCACCAAATTCACAGTAAAGAAAGAAAACATCCTTTATTAGATTAGTGTGGATGATGAAGGTCAAGAGAGACTCAGAGGAGAGATGAAATCTGGTCTCAGTGCTCAGCTTCAGACTGAGACTGCCTTGGTTCAATTCCCAGAAAGTTACTATACTTAATTTCTCCATGCTTGTTTCATCTATAAAATGGGATCAATGGTCCCCACCCCGAGGGTTGTTGTGAGTATTAAATGAGTTAACATATATAAAAAATTCAGAATAATACCTAGCACACAATAAATGTTAACTATGGAAATAATATCAAGATCTTTAAGAATTCCCCCTTCTTGCCAGGCATAGCGTTACATGCCTATAAATCCCACACTCCGAGAGGCTGAGGCAGGAAATTGGAAAGTTCGAACCCAATCACGGCGATTTAAGTGAGATCCTGCCTCAAAATATAAAATCTCAAAAAAAAAAAAAAAAGATGAAATTTCAGCTCAGTGTGTAGGCCCTGGTTTCAGCCTCCAGAACAACCAAAGAAAGAAAGAAAAAAAAAAACTGTTCCTTCTTGATCTGCTAAAAGCTTTTATATAAATTTAGGTCCCTTTATTTCACAATCATGAAAGTTTTAAAAACTTGAATTCTAAAAGATCTCAATGTAATTCAACAAATTAAGCAGCACTCTTACAGAATAAGTTACCTTTTCACTGTTGATATCACAACTACTAGTCACTCTAACTTTTGCTGACTCCCACACTCTGGTAAGTTGCATGAAGCCAAAATTCTCCTGTTTTCCCTTTTCCTTTTGTTCTGCTTTGGTCCTCTATGAACCCCATCTATATGGTCTCTCCTCCCACCTCGATTCATTCCCCATATTCTCAAATTTATCTTCATAACATATCCCTCTAATCTGCCCATAGTTGTGGGTAATGATACAGTTTACAAAGAGAACCGGGAGGGTTGAGCCCCATAGAGGCTAGAGAACAAGCCACTACTGACCACTCCCTGAGATGGCCCTGACAGAAAGTTTCTAAGAAGGAAACAAGAGAAGGTCTTAAATACTCCAATACCCTTTCTGGCCTGGTCTGGGGGCCCTAAGAGCCAGGTTAAACCTATTACACAAAGAACACAAGACCACACAAACAGAAGGAAACATTTCCACTCAAGTTAAGCTGAAACCCAAAATTCTAAAGCCATCACTTCTTTCAAGCCTAAACTTTTGAAGTTACTACTTTTTTCCACAAATAAGATATGAAAAGAAAAATTACCTGTTGACACTTGGGCTAAAAATATTATACTATCAGTCCAGGGATGGTGAAAAATAGATGGGAAACCAAGGTCTTAAGCAGCAATCCAGCAGAATCAGGACAAAATGTTCCAAAAAATCAACAGAAAAAGAAGAGTACAGATTTCTAAAGAACCTTAGACAATGTTCTTCTGAGAGCGACAAAGAAATCTTAAAGAAAACATTAAAGATGTTACACTGAGCTGCTACAGCCCCAGCCCTTTTTTTATTTGAGACAGTATCTTTCTCTAACTTTATTAAATTGCCCACGCTGGGTTCAGACTTGCAATTCTCCTGTCTCAGCCTTCCAGAGTACTGAGGTTACAGAAGTGGGCCCCCACACCCAGCCAATTATCCTGTTTTATCGCTCACTGAAGAGGATACTTAATAAAGCAAATTCATATTAAAACCACTGCTCTGGGCTGGGATGTAGCTCAAAGGCACTTTCCTAAGGTGCACAAGGCCCTAGGTTCCATCTCCAGCACCACAGGAAAGGGGGAAAAAAAAAAGCTTTCTTTTCTTCAGTTGTCTCCCTGCCACAAATGTTTCACATCAAGAATATTTATTGGTAAGAGGTAAAGGGTCCCAGTCCTAGTCTATTATAACCATGATCATCCTTTCACAGTCAAGTTACTTAATTCTTAAATCAAACAGGTGAATATCATTTTTCTTGACATCATGAGCTGATAGTTCATTACACTCTTTAAAATAATTATTTCCTGTACCCACATTTTGTTTGAAGATTTAGATAATTAACTTCTTTAGACATTAACTTCTTTACACATCAAAGTCCTATCATTCTGATGCTTTATTTCCTTTCTTCCAGACATTAAAAAGTCTGTTAAAAGCAGAAGCACTCAAGTCAATTTTCTCTAATAAATACAGTTAACATGGAACTGAAAACCTACTGTAATCTTCTCAATGGGTTAATGTACTACAGTTGTTTCAGCTTTCAATTCATATGCAGCTGTTTGCCATATTTTACAAAATGAATTCAGATGTGCAGATTGGGACCTAGATTATTTCAACATGCCACAGTTTAAATGTGAACCCAAGGAGTAAGTTCATTTCTGATTAATACTATGTAAACTTGATCACTAAACCAATAGCCAATACAATGTCACACCTGCAAAATACTATTCTAGAGGAAAAAAATTTAATTATCTTTTAATTTAAAGCAGTGGAGGTTAAGGGTATTGCTTTCTTCAGAAAATACTGCTACCCCCAAAAAAATCTTATTGTAGTGAAGTCATACATCACAAAAAGTGAACCATGCAAAATGCAAGGAACATGTCACAGGGTTTCCATATAGAGGTCACATTTTGGGTGACTGTCCAAAAAAGAAATAACATGAGAAATATCTCTAAGCTTAGAAGACCTCAAAGAATTGGGAATCTTACCACTAGTTTCTGCATCCTCTAAGCAATATCAAAATCTAGACTGTGAAATTGATTAGCTTATTAATTAAAAGATAAAGGAATTAATTTTCACTTCTACTGTATCACTGCTGAGGAAAACTAATGCAGACATATGTACTGATTGAGCATCTACAGTTTCAATTGTAATCATTCATAACCTGAACATCTCACATAATGTAAGCTAATGAAAACTTTTACATTTAAAACATTTTCATAAATAACAAAAGGCAGAAAAGTAATTATGGTCCAGCCAACACTATTATACACTGCATTTTAGTACTGCTATATAAAAACTCAAGTTATGTCATAATCTAAATTTCTATGGATGTGAAAAATAATACCAAATGGCCAATCATTAAAAATGCAAAAAAAAATTAAAAGTCCAAAATATCTGTAAAATTCTACAACTAGTGTTTAGGACACCACAATGGTAATTCCATATACAGTATTAATATATACTCCCTTTCAAGTGGACTTTGGAAGTTTTTTTTAAAACCTGGTTTTTAAACTTGTTTATCAAACCACCCCTTTTTCACAGCAGCTAAATCATTCAGTATCTCCCAAACCACAGCATGCTCTTTTGCACCCTTCCAGGGTTCTACCTGCAGTTATATCATGAAACAATACAACACCTCTCAATCCAGAAGACCCTAACCCCTCTCATCATTCCCTCCTACACAACTATAAAGAACCCTCCTTTTTCTTAACTTACCACTTATATTGGCCCAATATTAATTATTTTAGTGCGTGTTAATTATTGTAGTTTAATAGTAAACTTCTGCCCCACATCAAATCCCTGCTCCACCTACTTGCCGATGGTAGCATCTTCCTAATCCAGAGAAATACAAGCTTCCACTTAGTAAGGGCTCCACTCTCTACCAATGGTACTGTAACCTCCCTGAATCCCCTCTTACAATAACAACAGCCTGGCACCATCTTTACAGGCAATAGCACCTGTGCTTTGAGTTATTCATTCATTACCCCTAAATGGGCACCTACTACAGGTCAAACACAGGGCAGGGGATTTAGCTTGGTGCTTCTGCTGCCTGCCTTGCAAGTGCAAGGACCACAGTTCGATCCCCAGTGCAAAAAAAAAAAGTATATCAGTACAGGTTAAACACAGAACAGTAAGCTAGGGATATGGTGACACATAAGCCAAACAAAAACGAAATACATTATAACACCAGAAACAAGAACATATGCAAATATATATTTTCATTAGTCTCACATTAACTTTCTATTTAATGTGCTTCCATATTCAGTACCTTCTTATGCAAAAATTCAATTTCAAAATGGGTGTGGTAATCCCAGGACTCCGGGAGGGAGGCAATTTAGAGTGCAACCTGAGTGATTTAGCTAGACTCTGTTACAAAATTTTTTTTGTTTTGTTTCGTTTTTGTTTTTTTTTTGGTACCGGGGATGGAACTCGGGTCCTTGTGCTTGCGAGGCAGGCCACCGAACAGCTGAGCTAAATCCCCGGCCCAAAATTTTTTTAAACATTTAAAGGGCTGGAGATGTAGCTCAGTACAAAGGCTCTGTTCAATACCCAATTCTACAGGAAGAAAAGGAAGGAAGGAGGGAGGAAGGGAAGGGGGGAGAAAGGAAGGGAAGGAAGGAAGGAGGGAGGGAAGGAAGGAGGTTTTAGACAGATAATCAACTATAACAAACAAAAACATAATGATGAAAATCTGTGGGAGGGGGACCAAAAACACATGAGCAGACTTCAGACTACAGTTTGACATTCACTAATTTCATCCAAATCCCTCATTTTTCAGGTGAGGAAACTGCAGTCCAGAGGGGTTTCTTGAACTGCCCAAGGACACACCATATTTAGTGATACAAGCTGGGACCAAAACTGAGGTCCCCCTGACTCCTGGTCCAGAGTTCCTTCTACTGTACATGAGGAACATACAAATAAAAGGTTACCACAGTTAACTCACAAGACCTCCACAATGTGTTTGTCAAAGTGAATTTTGTTGTGAAATATCTGCCTACATCCAACCATAGTGGGCTCTGGAGTTCAAAAACAGTCTCTGACACTGAACCATGTAACCTTGGGCAAGTCATGGCACCTCTCTGCCTAGTTCCCTCATCTTTAAAATGCAATCTAAAATACTCCTTTCACTGGTTACATGAAACAATATACATGAAGCATTTAGGACAGGAGCTGGTCCATAAAAAGCCCTCAGTTCATGTGAACAACAATGACAAAATGAATCCAAGGAAAAACCACAGCTTTCTGAAACACTGCACAAAGGATTATAATTAAGCACATTGCTTATTCTCAAAGAAACACTTTTGTAACATAAACTAAGATATATAGGCCTCAGTCATAAAACTGCCATAACATTTAAAATAGCAAAGCATGTGTTGTTTTTTAAATAATTTATATTTGTAAAGTATTTTTTAGATAAACTCATAATTTTTTAAATTTACTGCCTTGTGAATTCAATGAATACAGCACTTTTCTAGTAAAACATACCATCTTCCAGATAATGTGCTTTTTTCATGTTCAATATCTTTAACTTTCAATATCCACCTATTAGCTAGTACTAGGTACTACCAGAGGCAGAAGTGTAGTGCAAAAACACCTAACAGACCATACCAGAAAGTCATAAGGACCCCATATAGCAATGATGGCAAACCTTTTAAAGCTTTCGATGACAAAAACAGCCAGCCCTCTGTGGCACCAGTGTGACAGGTTCACCATCACTGACCTATAAGATGGGGTGACACGCCAGGATAAATAACTGAGACACAGGAATCAGCATAGTGGATGGAACACAGCAAGTAACCAAAAAAACCCTTAAGCAGGACTAGGAGTTGTTTTGTGCAGAGAATACACTGTAACCACATCGGTAAATCACCATTATTGTGATTTAAGAATATTATTTGTATTTTTGGAAAATGCTGGTTTTACTAAGGGTGCTATGTTACACACTATTCTGTAACCCAAAACGTACAACAATTTTCGCAGATTTAGAGTCATTCTTCACTGAAAATAGTAGGTACACAAGGTGAAATAAAACAATTAAATATAAAAATGTTTGTAAAACAAAGCAACCATTTATAAATGTAATTTTAATTTGATGCTCACCAATAATCCTGGTGAAAAAAATACTAATTCCATTTTATAATTAGGAAGTTCAGGCTCAAAAAAGTGAAATACCACTACTGAAATCACAGAGAGAATAGAGCCGAAAGGGCAGAAGCTAGGTTTTGCATGAGACTTTAAGTACTCTTTCCATGCTGCATCCTCAGAACACTAATACCTTCAAGTTCTAATTTTCAATAAACTTCAAGCAATAGTAACTAGCATTATGAAGCTGCATTCATGGGTCACCTCACTGAACCTTTACGAGCATAGAAATAGATGCTATTACTATCTTATTTTATGAGAGGGAGCTGACACTTCTTAGAAAGATAAAATAATTTGCTTCAAATCACATAAGCAGCAGAGTAAGGGATCAAATCAAGTGTGTCTGGCTCTTAATAAAATATTTCATTATAGTTTAAATTCCATTAACACAACTATTCATTTGGCTGAATTATTACTTAAGTGAGCTATAAGTAAAATCGTTCTCTAGCATTCTAATACATAGCAAATAGATTTCAGATTGATTTCCTTATTCAACCTCACCATAAAATAAAACAGACATTATCTGAACACAAATAATAACAAATTTAACTGACAGGGCCTTTCTTTGCAGCCCCTACACCAAAAGATCTTTTTCCCCTACCCAGGAAGAACCAAAAAGCAAGCTGCCCAAGATTTCTATCCAAAGTAAAACCTTTAAATTATTAGTGGCTTCAGTGAATAAGTCACTAATCAGTCCTTTGTGTGTGGAACGTAGTGGGGACTGAACCCAGAGCTGTCACACTGAGCTACACTCCAGCCCCCTCCCCGACTTTTAGACAAGTTCTCCCTAAATTGTCAGACAGTGCTTAAACCAGCCATCCTCCTTCCTCGGGCTTCCACAGTGTTGGGATTACAAGTGTTTGCCACACACATCCAGGGCACTGAGTCTCATTCCCTATATCTATTATTTTAGAACAAAAGAAGTAACTCTGTCACTGTTTCAGAGCAAAGTATATTTCTGCAATATAGTTAATCCTCCTAAAATTGTGTATTATGAATTTCAATAAGCCTAGAAGTATGGTCACTATGTGATTATGTGGTCCCAACTAGGATAATTTCGACAGATGAAAGGGGCCATATTAATAACTATGCTGGGGCAGCCTTTTAACCACACCTGTCCCAGAAAATTTAAGTCAAAGACACTGTACACAAGCCCCCATTCTGATGTAACTTAATCTTTAAGTGACTGTTCCAGATCTAATGATTATCTTCAGCCTTAAGACCAAGGGCACGATTTTACAAATACCATGCCAGAGTTAAGAGCACCAACCATAAGAAATGTTTTTTTTCTAAAATTTTACTTTCCAGGGTTGGAGTTGTAGCTCAGTGGTAGGGCACATGCTTAGGATGTTTGAGCCCTGCGTTCAATTCCCAGCGTTACAAAAATTTTTAAATTTTTTAAAGCTTTGCTTTAAAGCTTGACTTTATAAATACTTGCTTGAAAAAGAAAAATACATTTCAAGGAAAGTAACTGCGAAAAAAACCATCACATTTTACATATTTCGCTAGATTTGATAACAACAAAATTACTAAAATACTATCCCAATGCTCAAAGGTTATTACTATAATTCACCAAATTGATTACACAAAAGGCTTAAAAACAAAAGAAGCACCATCTTCCAAACAAAAAAAGCTTCAAGAGTTGGAAAATCATCATTTTGTTTAGTTTTTAGTGAGAAAAGTGGAAATCCATGATCACAATACAGTACATTGATTAAGGAAAACTCTAGTTAGCCTTGTGATGGCTCTTCAGCTAAACCTGGCAGGAGCTGCACAACCTAGGAGTCAGAAGAATGCACTGCTTTAATTTGCCAAGCTGTAAATAAACACTAACAGATGCATGCTCTGAACTACAGTATTTGAATAAAAGGCTTATTTGAATATAATTATGAATCTTTTAAGGCAACAAAGTTCCAAGAGAAGGCCTCTGATTTAAAACTCAACCAAATCAAAACGTTTGAAGGGTTCTCAAAATTTACACCTATACTATTTCACGCAGTGGCCACTAGCCAAATGTGGCCATTTAAACTCAGATTTATTAATGAAATCAGATATTCAGTTCAATGGCACTTGCCACATTTTAAGAGCCACTTGTGCCTGGTGGCTGCCATACTGGGCCACACACAGAGTGTATAACACTTCCACCATAGAAAGCACGGTTGTGGACCTAGACACTTTGTCTGGATATCCCAAGACAAGAAACCTGCAACACCACGATGAAGAGCACTGCTTTTGCAAAATACTATCAAAAGGTGTTCCTCACGGTCAATCAAATTCAACCTCTTTGGAACATTCATCAGAAATTCTACCAGTCCTTTCAAGTAAGTCTTTGCAGAGGTCTTCTCCTCTCAGATAAACACTTTTTCTAAAATGACATGGTTAAAAGTTTAAATTCCTGCTGACCGACGGAGATATGGTAGTTTATCCACACGCACAGAAATAATAACCTTGTGTCCCGGATCCTCTCCGGGTGTCCGTGTAACATTCCACTATCCCCCTAACTTCACTCACATTATCAGGCCCGGGGTCCTGACTGTTAATGGGGGGGGGGAGAACCACACTCGTTCTGAACTCCTAAAGCATGGATATAAAAAATAATTACCAAGTGTGGGGGGGATGTGACCACAGACCCAGCACTCAGGAAGTCTGAGGCAGGAGGATCACGAGTTCTGGCCCCTAAAGGGCAACTTGGCGAGGATCTACCTAAAAATTTAAAAATAAGAAAGGGCTGGGGGATGTAATTCAGTGCGAAGGTCCTGGGTTCAATCCCCAGGACCCGGAGGGAAAAAAAAAGTAATCTCAAGCAGGGGGCGTGGCGAATGTGCATCGTGTAACCAGAACCGCGGTCTTGAACCAGGCATATTCTGGGCCCATTTTACAAACCCAAACAGCGGGCAAAGAACCTAAAAGGGGCTCCCCGGAGGTCATGGTGAGGGGCCTCCTCCCCCGCGGGCGCCTCTTCGTCGCGAACGCCCCTAACTCTCCTCCCGCGCTTGGCCCCAACCCGCCGCGCGGCCCCGCCG